TTTGCCACTGCTGACACTGAGGCTCTCGCCCACGTGAAGTCGGAGCTGCAGAAGAGACACACGTGCACAGACTTGGGTGAGCTGCGCAGCTACCTTGGCTTGCAGATCACCCGGAACAGAGCACGCCGAACCATCACCTTGACTCAGTCACACATGGTGCAGCAGGTCCTTCAGCGCTTCGGCTTCACCTGGTCTTCAGCACAGGCCACTCCTCTGGCTACAGGTCACACGCTCTCAGCTCCACCTTCGGACGAGTCCGTAGAGCCGAGTGGTCCTTACCCAGAGCTAGTCGGCTGCCTCATGTACCTGATGACTTGCACTCGACCTGACCTCGCGTACCCTCTTGGTCTTCTGGCTCGCTACGTGGCTCCTGGTCGGCACCGACCTGAGCACATGGCTGCTGCTAAGAGGGTACTGCGCTACTTGTGCAGCACATCAGGCATGGGGCTAGTGCTTGGAGGGACGAGCCCAGTTGTCCTCACTGGGCACTCAGACGCTTCTTGGGTTGACGACCAGGCTACTCAGCGGTCGTCACAGGGTTATACCTTCAGCCTTGGCTCTGGTTCAGTTTCGTGGCGTTCTACACGCTCGTCTTCAGTTCTCAGCTCCAGTTGTGAGGCTGAGATCTACGCCACAGCCATGGCTGCACAGGAGTTACGCTGGCTCACCTACCTGCTAACTGACTTGGGAGAGCAGCCTCGTTCTCCTCCAGTGCTGTACGTCGACAACAAGGCCGCCATTGCCTTGTGTGAGGAGCACAGACTGGAGCACAGAACGAAGCACATTGCTCTACGTTACTTCCTGGCTCGAGAGTTGCAGCAGCGAGGCCAGCTTCGTCTTCGCCACATGGCCACTCGGGCCAATACTGCTGATATATTCACCAAGGCACTTCCGTCTGGTGATCATCAGCGCTTTTGTACTCTGTTGGGCCTTGTGCCTACGTTTCCACACTTGCTGTAGTCTCTGCTTGTACTGTGATCTATATATATATGCATGCTGGCTCTTGCTAGGTAGCCATCACTGTACTGTTATTGCTGCATATATATCTCTGCATGTGAACTGGCCCTGTGGCCCTTTGCTTGTGCTCGGAATGCGTGGTGACGTTGTGATCCACCCTGAGCTTGTTTTGCTTCTCTTGACTGGTCGTGTGACCCCTTGTTCTCCCCCACTTTGCCTATGGGGGTGTGTCAAACTATATGTACTGCATATTGTCTAGGCTATAGTGGGGTAGCCCATATGGGGTACAACCCAATTAGGGTTTACTACTTGTACTCCTGCATCCTGTTAGTTCATTCATTCCTGCTGCTAGATTCTAACATGGTATCAGAGCGAAGGTCTCGGGTTCGATTCCCGGTGTGTGCACTTCGGGCATCCCAGTGCGGGGGGTTGTCAGAGGTCCACTGGAGATCCCTGATGATCCTAGGGAAGGGTTACAGGCACGTCGGCCTGGGGGGTTATGGGCGCACTCACCCGCTACATAAACAAGCCCTTTTATCCCAGTGGTTAGTGACTGGGATTCTGACAACACAAGTTACTGACCTCCCGCTTCTGGAAAACCGAGGAGAGGACGTTGAGCTGCTTCGGAAGGTCCGCGAGGAACCTGATCAGGAACTGGAACCTGTACGACATGACGAGCTCGTACATGCTCTGGTCCTCCCACTCCGACAACATCACCATGATGGCAGGAAGGACTTGGCCAAAGCGGGCGACGGCAGCACCTTTTGAAAGCCACCGAACGGCGTTAATGCCTTGCACCTCGAGATTTGTGCACGTGAACACCTCCTTCAGCTCCATGAAACGCTGATGCCACGGTGACGATCGCCCGAGGTAGTCAGCGACGGCGTGGATCACGTCGTCAACCATGTTGAAGGTTGGTATCGCCTCTGCAGCGGCTTTGGCAGCCAACGCATCCCTGCAAAGCAGAAGAACAAACACGGTTAGAAAATGATAAAACTCATCATCGACGTTCATACATGACTTTAGAGCACAAACGCACCGGTGAGCAATGCAGTGGAACGAGACCAGGTTGGGGATGAGCATTCGCAGACGAGCAACCACACCATTTTGGGCGCCCACCATCACCGAGGCGCCATCCGTGCTCACACCCGAAATACGACGGAGATCAACGTCGACAGCCCTGAGGTGGGAAAGCAACAAACTACACAAGGATGCAGCGTCAGCCTTCTCAATCGTAAGGTGAGCGATGGACTCAGTGACAACTTGGCCTTCGGGAGGATGCCGCGTCTGCTGGTGTGGGGGGGAGTGTGCAGGGGTGGCGGGAGTGATTCTGCATCAGCCGCCCCCTCCTCATATTTGTTTTCCTTCCGCTGCCGCTTGGGGGGGGTGGGGTGAGGGGGTGGCAGCACCAACCGCCCTCCTCCTCCTCTCTCCCCTCTCGTTTCTTTCTCTCTCTGCTGCTGTCCGTGCCTGCCCTGACTGCCATGTCTCTCTCTGGCACTTCTGCTACGGTGGGGGGAGGTTTGGGGAGAAGGGGGGAGGTTGAAGGGGGGTGGCCGCCATGAAGCCAGCAGCTCCAGTCGCCCGTGAGACCGTTGCTCTAGTGGCCCGTGAGCCCGTTGCTCCAGTCGCCCGTGAGTCAGTTGCTCCAGCCGCTCGTCTAGCCGCGGAGCCAGTTACTCTAGCTGCCCGTGTGCGAGTTGCTCCAGTAGCCAGTGTGCTAGTTGCTCCAGTAGCCCGTGTGCCAGTAGTTTCAGCCGCTGCCCACCACCTTCTCTCCTCTCATGGCCCTTCCTCCTGCTCACTTGCTTATTCCGTTGCACTCTGCATGGTGTACCTCTTCAGGGGGCATTGCTACACTACCTACAATCACTCATGGGGGCGTGTCAAGATATATTTTATGTATATGTTGTATAACTGCTTGTGGTTGGATCGTAGGGTAGCCATACTGCCTATTGTTGGTGGTGCACCCTTCCTATGCTTTCACTACATCTTGTATCTCATGCTATAGTGAACTCATCTTGTTTGGCCAAACCCTCTCGACCTCCCTCTCGCTATTCTCCTTCCTAGCTCTATGGCTCCTAAGTTCCTAAGCTAGTAAACATTCTTTAACATAACATTACCAAAGGGGCGGCGCTTCTTGTAGTCGCGCCAGATCTGCACAACCTCGTTATAGTCTGGCTCGTTGTTGAGGAGGGACATGTCAGAATCCCAGCCACTAACCACTGGGATAAAAGGGCTTGTTTGTGTAACGGGTGAGTGCGCCCATAACCCCCCAGGCCAACGTGCCTGTAACCCTTCCCTAGGATCAATCGGGGATCACCAGTAGACCTCTGACACCCCCTCCGCACTGGGATGCCCGAGGTGCACACACCGGGATTCGAACCCGAGACCTTCGCTCTGATACCATGTCAGAATCCCAGTCACTAACATCTGGGATAAAAGGGCTTGTTGTATAGCGGGTGAGTGCGCCCATAACCCCCAAAGCCGATGTGCCTGTAACCCTTCCCTAAGATCAATCGGGGATCACAAGTGAACCTCTGACAGGACATCGTGATGAGGTCTTCATCCCAGGCGTCCTTAAGACTCCCCCGCTGCCAAGACTTGATGATATTCTGGCGGGAAAACCCCCGCTCACACTCCACCGTACTCAAAGGCAGCACGGCGACTTTCATCCACAGGCGCACCAGGTTAGGGAAGCTCGACGACCAATCGCTCGTCTTCAGCATTGTTGTTAGCCCGGCATAGAAGCCGCATTCGTTCTTCGGGGCACCTGCAAGGATGGGGCAGAAGGTGCGCAGTTCTTTGGTCGCCCGACACTTGTCGATCCCTTGACATTTTAAAAGCGCCGGCGCTTATGGCCGTAACTCAATTACAAGTCCCCCCCCTAGAAAAAAAGAACGAATTTATTATAAACGCATATGCGCTGCTACACGGGGCCAAATGGCGTGCTTCTACTTCTAATCAAGGCTTTTTTTTATAGGTCCGCTGGCCTAAGTCTGCTAAAGAATTAGCGGGGTCGACTAAGTCGAGGATAAACGCGGCGGAAGACTTTGGCGAAAGAAGGTGTTGGTGAAATATGCGAAGGGGTTACTGAGTAATTGGAATGAGAATTGGTTGAGAATGCATTGATATTGGTGGATCCAAGCAAGGTTGATATATCATGCACGAGCAATTGTGGAAAAGTGGTTTGTGAGACTAGGATTTAGAAGGCAAAGAAAGTAGAGTGCCATGTGGCACTAGGAAATCTAGGAAGATAAGGATAAGGGTGAGTTGGAAAGTACTGTTTAAAGTGAACAGAACAGTAAATCCCCCTTAACATTTTCGTGTTGGTCCACAGTCTACACTCCCACCTCCAACGACAGCTTTCCAATCGAAGAGTCGCGGTTGCGTGTGCAAGAGCGGGGCGATAGACGGGACGAGGACCCGTCGCTGCAGTCGAAGCGGAAACTGTGCGACTTATCTGGTGATGCAAAGGGTGCGAATGATGTTGATGTGAGTGCATGAGTGCGCGGGTGCGTCAGTCGACCCGAGACCCATGGCTGCGTGTACCAATCGACGCGGGCGGATGCCCCGAGCCGTTGTTTGAAGCTGCCGTGTTCCTCTAGTGACTGCCGCTATAGAAGCGGCGCCTGCTCGTCTTATCCGTCGTGATTCTTGAGAGCCTTGCGTTTACTCACGAGTAAGCTCTCTGTGACTCGTACAGAGTCACGCGTAGGTTCATCGCTTCGTTCCTTGAGAGGAAGGGAGACGAAAGAGGAGAGAGGAGAGGGGAGAGGGAGAGCGAGAGTGGGAGCTAGCGCCGCCAGTAGTCCAATCTCGCGACCGCGGGCTGTTGTTTTCCGCTCTGTGATTATTGCGGGGTGGTGTGTGTCAGCGAGTTTGCGACAATGAAGGGAGGTGAACATGTAGGCTTGCGAGGTTTCGTTGCGGCAGCAGATTCATTTAGCTTAGAATTTGCAGGTTGCGCAGGAAGCGCAGGAAGCGCAGGTAGTTCCCCTTGCTGCGCCAGTTTAAACAGACGCTTTCCGCCGCCACCGCGCATGAGCGGCGGCCGTGGTCCTCTGCTTGCTGCCATCCTACTGCTGGCGCATGCCGTCGTCACATCCCAAGGTATCCGTTATTTCTGGCCTTCTGACGCTCGCACCGCGTTTTCGCCCGCCTAAAAAATGCTTGTAGTCATCCTGTTGCTGGCGCATGCCGTCGTCACATCCCAAGGTATCCGTAATTGCCGGCATTCCGACGCTCTCACCGCGGCCCGACCCGCTTCCTCCGTTTTTTCATCCCGTTCCCCTCGCCCCGCTCAACTCCACCCCCTAGTAATCCCCTCTTCCTCCTCCCCCATTTCCCCCTCTTCACTCGCATTTCGCACAGCCGTTTGTCACCAGTTCGAGCAAACCTGCTCAGCACACCCCTACCGCCACGCACCCGCTCTTCCTGCGTTGCTCATTCCGTTTCCCGTTTCCATTACTACCGCGATAATATTGCAGGTGCAGCAACAACAGAGGCATCATGCATGGGATCGGCTTGCACACTGCAAGGTAACCACCTTGTACTAGTAGTCTCGTGCATTGGGATTTTCCATTTCGCCGGATCGTGTCATTCGTCCCAGGTTGTTCGCATTTGCTGTCTCCTGCCCCACGCGGAGCTTTTTTACCGACCTAATCGGGCTCACATGCAGGCCCATGCAGGCCCATGCAGGCCCATGCAGGCCTATATATGCAGGCCAAGGCATGCCATCAATGTTATGCATGCCATACAGGCCCATGTTCTGATCCGTGCTGTTCCTTACTCATTTCACCCCAAAAAAACCTAACTCGAAGCACCTTCTCTCCACTGTTTCTCTCTCCCACACCACATCTCTCTCCACCCCTTCCATCCCCTCCTCCCCTCTTTAACCCCATCCGCACCCCCCAGTGTCTGCCGCGCTCCCGCCAGAGCACACGCTCTTCCTCGCCCTGAACCACCTGCGCTACGCTGCTGGAGCCCCCCCTCTCTGCAACTCCACTGTGCTGAGGGCGGTCGCGCGCGAGTGGCTGCGCAACCTGTGGCTCGCAGGGCTCACGCCTGACTGCCGGAATGGATCGCTGGGAGATGCTGCTACAGCCGGTGCTGCTACTGCAGGTGCTCTTTTTGCGAGTGTGGTGGTGGCTGTGGTTGTGGTTTAAGGATGCATGCAGCCCTGATGTGCCTGTTGGATATTGGTCCCTGCGTTTCACGTAGCAGTGACTGTTTGGTACTTGTTTCAGCTTCGTTCTCTTGCCCTCTATTTATCTATTTCATTCTGCTCTTTGCGCATTACTTTTGTATTTGCCGGCTCGTTTTTTGGAAGCAGGGTCTGGCACGGAAACGCCTGAATGCTATCGGGCACCTCTGCTGCCCCACGTGCGCAAAGAGTACACCCGCTACACTCCATTCGTCACCTCGCTCTACTCCCTCGTTGGAACCAGCAACTCGTCGAACCTCCAGAGCTTGCTGCCGAGTCAGAACGCCGGTGCAGCAGATGAAGCAGCTAAGGCCTTCGTGCAATCCACATTCGCAAACCTCCATCACTCTTCTTCAACCCCCGCTGCATTAACCGACTACTTGCTCTCCGATGTGGGAATCTACATCATGGAAGGCTCGGGCATACAAGCAGAACCAGAGCCCCTGGAGGATGAGACAAGTACAGGTACTACAAGCGCAGAGAGCGTGCATGGAGGAGGCAGCAGTGGTGGTGATGGTTTGTCTGCGCCATCAAGGGGTGCTGGAGAAGAGAAGGTTGGGGAGCACATCTGGTGGGTGGCTGTGGTTGTGGGACAGATGGGGGCAGGCTTACAGTCCTTCTGTGAGGTACAGGGCCAAGTGGTCAGCATTTCAGGACGTGCTATTCTGGTTTGAGCAGCTTGAAGGGTGTGGTGTGCACATGATTTGCAGCAACAGTGGCAGTAGCCATATGGTTCCTGCCCTGATATTTCTGAGCCGAGCATAAAGGTGCTAGAATAAACACACACTTCTCAATGCATTCTCCACCAATGGTTGACATTGGAACGGTTTCACCCTGTTTTGTACTTGGATGAGGGCAAAACGATGGTGGGACATGACACACTCTAGAACAGTCAGATTTGTACCGGTAGTTGACCACGCCTAGGGGCCACCTTGCAAACACTCAGCAAGGGAGCACCTTGCAAAACAGTCCAAAACAAACCATGAAGCACAAATACATGGTACAGCGGAAAAGGGGGTTCGGTTCTGTAGAGCTGAGTCCCAGACCCAGTGCCCTGCCCTGCCCTGACCTGCCTACGTCCGTCCGTGTAAACGAGCTGCTTGATAACGTTCCGGTGGGTGGGTCGTCTTCCTAAGCAGGAGGCTGCTTGCTTCCTATGCAGGAGGCTGCGGTGCAGTGTCTGACAAGACAGCAGCGTCACCTGTTACATTTCGGAATGCTTTGAATACATTGGGACAGCATCGCCTTTTGCACCTGCACAGCGTAGTAAAAAGAAAACACTTCATTAATGTAGGCTCGGACACTTCGGGAAACATAACTTCAGGGAACGCATGCAATCTTCATATGCTATTAGAAAAAACACTGCGAAGCACAGCCACCTCCTCACCTCCAGCTGTTCGATAAACGCCACAGCAGCGTGAAGCAGCGACACCATATCGGTGCGTGCAGACAGGTTGGTAGCGCACCGCCGCTGGCGCAGCCACGACGCAGGAATGACCTTCTCTAGCTGCTTGAACCCCGCACTGCACAGAGAGAAACCACGGCAACACACAGGCACAGACACATGAGCCTAGCTGCATCAAAAAGAAAAGGGTCATCAATCCTAGATGCAGAGAATTATCATACTCATCTAAAAGGGTCATCAAGAAAGAGAGATTAAAAGAGACAGAGCATAGCAAAGGCATAAATCTGGGCATTCCCAGGGAGAGGTAGCGTACCTGACCCGGTGTCGCCTGCGCTTCTCCGTGGCGCTGCGGCGGTGTATGGGGCGCCATTCCACGCCCAGTTCCCCCCTGCGGCTACAGCTCGGCATTGCCTGGGTCGTTGGCAGTGCCTGCACAGGGTGAATGGCAGGTTGTGTGGTCCGTGCTTCCTCCTGTGCCCCTGTGGCTTCAAGAGCGGTGACAGAGACAGTCGACGTGGCGTTGTGTGTTGACGCAATGCTCCTACCAGCAGCTGCAGCAGCAGCAGCAGCAGCAGCAGCAGCAGCCCCAGCAGCAGCAGCAGCAGCAGCAGGAGGAGGAGTAGAAACGGCAGCAGAGAGTGGGACAGGAGGTTCCATTTTTACGCTTGGGAGTTCTGGGAGTTCTAGAAACACAGCACCGCCGCGATGGACCAGCGCGGCAATGCCGCCAGGGTCAAGCTGAGGAGTGTCTGTGGCAGTAGGAGGCATCACAGCTAAAACTGCTGCCGTCGTTGAAACTGCTTCCACGGGTGAGAACCCAAGGCCGACAACGAGCGCACGCTCATCCACGGTCATCATCACGCTACTAGAGGGTTTTTCTGGAACGCCTGGAGCCCATGATACCCCGTTCTTAGTCACAAGAGCGTCGCCCTTCTGAGACGCCACAGCAACAAAAGTCAAGCTGGTGACGACGCCTGGTGCGCCGATACCGTTCTCAGTCACAGGAGGGTCACTGAGACCCTTGGGCTCCATGCTGCCGTCTGTGCACCCCGCAGCAGCAATATGTGGTAGTCGGAAATCGCAGGGTGCTGACGACGGCGCTGGGATAATGACGCTTGTCAACGGCGGCTCTTCTAGAAGGAAATCAGGGGTTATCAGGGGGAGGTCGTTGGGTATGGTCCATGCTGCCAAGTCCGCATCATGCTCTTCCCAGCCAGAGGTAGCAGCGGTGGTGGTGGCGGTGGTGGTGGTGGTGGTGGTGGTGGTGATATCGGAGATAGGCGCCTCGTTGAGAACAGCCTGGCGCAATCTGGGCTGAGAAAGGTCCCAATGTGAGGCGGCGGCGCCGGCGGAAGCGGCGGAGCCAGCGGAAGAGGCGGCGGCGGCGGCGGACGCCGCGACAGCGGGCCAGGTTGAAGAGCCGTCAGGCGAGAAAAGGGGAGGCTCGTAGTAGACAGGTAGAGAGGGCGTGGACGGAGCGTCCATGAGAATAATGGCCCAAGGGGAAGCGGTACTACTGCTGGTATAGTCGTGGAGTTAGAACAAAGAGGATGAAGTTGAAGTGCCTGTGCTGGAGTCGAAATAGAGGTATCACGAAGGGGTCAAGTCAAGGGGGCAACCGAGGTGTGGGCGCGATATAGTCGGGCCGAGCAAGACTCGAGGACGATGCGAGGACGATGCGAGGACGATGCGAGGAAGGAAGGTACTGTAAGAAGAGGAGGTCGCTGATTGATGATCTCCAAATGAACTCTCTGATCATTCCCCTTCGCGTGTGCGCTAATATACCGCAAGGAACTACAGGCGGACGGAAAAGGTCGGAGCAGTAAGGGGAGGAAGCATGACTGCGACGAGTACAGACGGCACGGGGCCGAGGAGATGTTGAGATCGAGTCCATGTGTGCCGGGGGGAAAGTGTGGAGAGGGGGAAAACGGACGGAGGTAGCGGCAGGGGAGGGAGGGAAGGCGACGAGGGGAGCGATGGGTTACTTGTCACGGATGTGGCACGTTTGGGAAATCCAGTAGAGATTCGCGGTTTCGACTCCGGCGGCGGTGGTTTCGAAGCTCGAGAGCAGAGAGAGCATCGGCCGCCGCTGATTCGAAGATCCAGGTCGACGGAGTCGGGCGGGCGGGGCGAGAGAGCTCCCGTACAACCGCCAAGTCATCGCGACGAGCCGCTCGCGTAGTATTATCATGACAAGGTATGGTACGTCAAGTGAGGGTGAGTCCGGCACAGGCAAGTTGAAAGTGAAGGCTGCTTGAAACTAGGACCGCATCAGGCTGACAATCAATCAGAATATACACGTGGAATCTAATAAATTTCCACGCCACGGTGTTTATATCATGCAGATCATGGTGGCATGTTGCCAGTCGTGCCACGGCGTTGCTACGAAAGTCGCGTTGTGGAGAGAATTGCCGCGGCGCGGGCTTTGGTCTCGGGAATTTTTTTCATCGCGCTCAAATTTTTCCACAACCCAAAAGACACACCCTCCACCTTCCATCGCGAGCGGTACGCTCTCCCGACATTTTGACTACAATTTGGTAGTGTACATGTGAGTGTACGGTCATGTCGGAACTTTTTGCAAGGAACCCAAACGAGGGGCTCCAACATTGTTGGAGCCAAACCTGCGTAGCGCTGGGTTGCCAAGCCTACGTGTGACGACTCGTATGTTAGGCTCGATAATGAGCCACTCTGTCGAAAATCCACGAAGCGCCAAATGGCAGTCATTGCACGAGAGGAAGCATTTCGAGCTGCGCAGCGCGAACAAGCACCAATAGAAGTGCAGGTTCGTATTGTGTGCGTTGGGTAGATCGCCTCGTCAGCTGATCTGACGTTGTTCGTTTTGAACGCCGCAGCACCGACATGAGTTTGGAACACTAGACACGTCAGACCTCAATTCCACCAACCGAACCAATCACGATCGCGCACGATTAATTTAGGGTTCAGAAAGCAAGGAGTGTCGATATACGCAGAGCATTACGTTCCGTTAACGATTAATTGATAGATAAAACATATAAAACTACATATAACTGTTCTTCGTAACCGTTGTTTGGTAGTGCGTAAATTTTTGCACGACAATATAAATTTAAAAGCTCATTTATTTATCATTACAATACAGTTTCCATGTTGAACTATTTACTCAGAGTTTTGAAAATATAGCAGCATATGATTGGAGCATCGTCAAACAATTGCAGTACAAGAGATAAGCATGGCAATTGATTATTATTGTCTCTAAATTTATGAATCAGGTGGGTAATGTTATGGTCTCTCACAAGGCATAACAACGCCAATTGGGCATGGCAGAAATAATGTAATGCAGGCACAACTGACCATACATATATTGAGTTAACAAGGTCCATAGAACGGTTGATTATGCGTGTAAAAAGGTTGATCACAAGTGTAAAAATGCTGGCAAAGGCATGCTTCTTTCCGTTTACTCACTATGATGATCATGCCTCAATGCACAAGTACAATGAATAGATAAGTAAAAATAAAGTTCTTCAAACAAAAGAACAAACCTAAGTACAGTATTGATGTCTTCAACAATAAACAAATTACTTCACATACAAGATCACAATATGTGCATTTCCCCCCCAAAAACCATGGAGTTGCAGAATTTTGCAAAAGAGTGATCAACGGTTTTTCACAGTATAGCAAAATGGAACTGAGTGTTATAATATATGGCTTGTTTATGAACTTGTTTTTTTTATATCTGTAGTTGGGTGCTGTTTATTTTGTTAAAATTATTCCCTCCTAATATGTATTGACAATCTACTGATGATTTTTTCGTTGTGAAACGGTCGCTGTATATAGTATCGAGCACACAAAGAATGCCCTTTTACCACATCAGCACGCACTTGAATAACTTCACTTCGATAGTATGACGCGGCGCTAAATCATTTGCCGATACTAAAAGTGTTACGGATCAGTTTTTTAACACGGCTTCAAATCTTCCGCGAGGCAAGGGCTGGAAGGAAACGACTGAGTGCCTGACGGCTACGTGCCACATGGGCGCAGCACTACAGTACATGCGATCTGCGCGGTGTAAAAATCAGTACAGTGAATATCAGCAGACCAATCGTATTGCGACACGACAAAGCCCACACGACTGTACTGTCTGATACAGTGATCCGCAGCACTTTGTCGAGCCTGTTCGCGCTCGAACCTGTCCGAACCTGTTATCCACACTTTGAGGAACGAAATGACCAATCGGCTAACACTGCGTGGCAGTTATGTTCGATGTCACCCAGCAAACTGCCCACCGACAAATTGGAACCTCCCAAAAAAAAACCCGTAAAGTGATTAAATGACGCGAAAAGGGGGGAGCGCGTGCCGCTCGCGATAGAAGGTGGAGTGTGTGTCTTTCGGGTTGTGGAAAAATTTGAGCGCGATAAGAAAAATTCACGAGACCAAAACCCGCGCCGCGGCAATTCTCTCCGCGTTGTGAGCTGAAAAGGGCACGCCTTGGCTCGGCTGACCATTACAGTACAAACCCCGCCGCGGCTACTATCGCATGCGTGGCAGTGTTGAGGTGACTACTACTGTAGGAGTCGCTGCGTACTTATCAGGTCGACGAACATATATTATGCCAAATATATTATCAGGTACTTATTTGTGCCTTGTTGCCCGAATATATTATGCGATTCTCGCATCTCTCCAACTTGCACATTTCGGACCTCGTAACAAGTGACTTCCAAACAAGTTTGGTGAAAATGACGCACACTGATTGGCAAGAAAGGGATCGCCTACAGTCGTGAAGCGTCGTAAGGCGGTCGGCTGTTACGAAGTTGGTTGTTCGTAACAGCCTGAAATGCGGCCTAGTAACCGTTTGTTCTTCCAAGGAGAGAGAGGGTCAGTCAGTCGTTGCCAAGAGAATTGTCGAGGTGTTTTGACGAATCTGACCCGATTTCCTTGTTCCTGTGAGTTACTAGGGCTCTCCGACTTGCCATTTAGGGGATGTTTGAAGTGAAACGTCGACATCCGTTTGCGGATGTCGGCGAATCCTGACGGTCGGAATACTCGATCTAAGGGCTGACATTTAGCGACATCCAGCGACATCCAGCGACATCCAGCGACGTCCACGTTTGCACCTTGTGCCACTTCGAACAGGAAGGGCTAGGCCGTTATCGTGTTCACATGCATTTGGACGGATGCACACCAGTCAACAATCTGATATGGATAAGGTGCGTGTGAACGCATTAGTGTAAAACTCGTTTACAGTATGTGTGACGGATCTTCTGCTCCTGTCATAGTCAGCTCCGGCGCCACAGGTAGGGTTTAAGGTTTTATTAAGGTCGTAACCTGTTTACAAACATGCATTCAGCTAGATAAGGATGCAAGCTACAACAAGGCTCCCTTCAGGGGAGCACGTACACACACGTCATCCTCCCGCCCCCAGGACGGAGGCGCCGGAGCGCAAATCTAGCTGGCACGTGGATGGTTTTGGGCTACGGGGGGCGGAAGGAGTCATTGAGGAGCCACGTAGCTTTGAGATCGGGATGAATGGCTGGGCAGTTGGGTTCGGGGAAGATGAACAGCCGGTGAGCGGTGGCTAATTTGATTCGGTTGGCCGCCCGTTGACGTTTTTTCTTGGACCCGTTGGAAGCGCGCCATAAGAGGATTTTGAAGGCGAGCAAGAAGAGGTTGAGAACGTTATGAAGAGCTTCGATGGTCTTGAAGGGGGTTTGGCGGTATCTGTGACTGCATCGTGCGTTCCAGATGGCTCTAGCGGCTGCTCCAACCAGCAGGCTCCACGGGGCAGTTTGACCAGCTCCCGTCGGAAGAGGGAAAAGGGTCAGCGACGGGGAGGTTGTGATGCCCAAATGTTCGCGCGCGGTGCGTTGTAGCGCTTCGGTGATCGGCCGGGCCACTCCACATTCGAAGAATAGATGAGGAAGAGATTCCACAATTCCTTGATTGCATCCAGAGCAGATGCCGTTATCCGCCAAGTACATGTAGCGAGATCCGGTGGGTAGAGCGCGAGCATATAGCCGAAACAGGATGTCCCGATGTGCGGAAGGTTGCTCCGAGAGAAAAACGTGTGTGTAGTCGGGAATGAGATGCGGTCCAGAGGTCGGGAGGATATTTAGCCAACGTTGCGGGTGTTGAAGCTGTTGTGGCGAGTAGGATAAGTCGCGAAGCGCTGCCAGTGAGGGGACGCCGTCCTGTAGGATCTCGAGTCTTGCCGCTAATCCCGCTCCCGAGCAGAAGGTTCCCCCAAGCCATCGGTCCACCACGTGTACAGGAACGGTAGTCTTGGTGTCGAGTATTCGCCGACCTGTCGCTGCTTTCGAGATTCTGCCCGTTGGATCGACCTCGTGGATGTGTGCAGAAAAGGAGTCCCCTTCGAGGCGTTGATCGACCTCGTAGGCGTGAAGAGGGGGGGCAGTCATGTCTGCCGCCATAATGATCCAGTTCCCGCTCTCGAGGGGAACCAAGCTGTGAGATGAGGAGAGCGCAGCCCACCAGTCGTCAGGCATGGCGTGATAGACTTCGTTGATGATTCGGCGACTGCAGGGGAACTCTTTCGGGGGGTATTGCTCCATGATTTCCGCATCCGTAAGCCGTCTCGCCCCGCCTTCATTGCGCCGAACGATATGTCCGATGCGCACCTCCCTGGAGATGAGAAATTTTTCGTCTTTAAGGTGGCCGAAGGGGCGGCCGTCTTTCTTCAAGATGAACCTGTTGAAAGGGGCGGGTTCGGCTATGATGCACCAGAACTCAAGCCGAGGGGGGAGGATGACGAGGGAGAGAGATGAGATACTACAGACTTCTTCGCGAAGCCGGCAAGGAACCGAGTCAGAGAGGAACCGTGCGAAGTGTCAGAGGTCCACTGGTGATCCCCGATTGATCCTAGGGAAGGGTTACAGGCACGGCGGCCTGGGGGGTTATGGGCGCACTCACCCGCTACACAAACAAGCCCTTTTATCCCAGTGGTTAGTGGCTGGGATTCTGACATGGTATCAGAGCGAAGGTCTCGGGTTCGAATCCCGGTGTGTGCGCCTCGGGCATCCCAGTGCGAGGGGGTGTCAGAGGTCCACTGGTGATCCCCGATTGATCCTAGGGAAGGGTTACAGGCACGTTGGCCTGGGGGGTTATGGGCGCACTCACCCGCTACACAAACAAGCCCTTTTATCCCAGTGGTTAGTGACTGGGATTCTGACATGGTATCAGAGCGAAGGTCTCGGGTTCGATTCCCGGTGTGTGCACCTCGGGCATCCCAGTGCGGGGGGGTGTCAGAGGTCCACTGGTGATCCCCGATTGATCCTAGGGAAGGGTTACAGGCACGGCGGCCTGGGGGGTTATGGGCGCACTCACCCGCTACACAAACAAGCCATTTTATCCCAGTGGTTAGTGACTGGGATTCTGACATGGTATCAGAGCGAAGGTCTCGGGTTCGAATCCCGGTGTGTGCACCTCGAGCATCCCAGTGCGAGGGGGTGTCAGAGGTCCACTGGTGATCCCCGATTGATCCTAGGGAAGGGTTACAGGCACGTTGGCCTGGGGGGTTATGGGCGCACTCACCCGCTACACAAACAAGCCCTTTTATCCCAGTGGTTAGTGACTGGGATTCTGACACGAAGACCTTGTCGAGGAGGAACCCGTGCAGGCCGAAGGGAATGGGGACGCAAGTGCGGGCAATCGCGGCATTGGGGAGCTGAGAGAAGCGTCGAAAGGCACGTTGTGCATTGAGCGCGCGGATTTGGTCAGAAGGTTTAATGGCGCCGACCCCACCGTCCTCAACGTGGTTGTATATAGTGTTGTGGGTCAGGTGGCGGGAGGACCTGCCCTCCGATCGAAATTTAGAAGCGTATAGCAGGTTCCCCGCTACGACATCAATCGCCTGTAGTGAGGGAGTTGGGGGGGGTTGGAATCTGCCCGGGAAGGAGAGAACGGAGTTGAGTCGTTCGTTGGAAAGACGCTTCCTGCAGGTGACCGTGGCATGGAGGTGCGCGAGGAAGTTAGCCGAGCACTTTATCTGAGAGAGAGCGAGCTCCCATGTTTTATCAGTGCGGCCCGACGAGCTCACATATATCCCCAAGATGCGCTCGAAATCAGAGCTACCTCGGATGGGGATGTCGCCGGCATGTCGGATGTCAGAGTGGGGAAGGTTAGAGGGAATAAGGGAACACTTGGCCCAGTTTGGATGTTCCCCGGACACCGCGGCGAAGAACATGAGGACTTGTGAGGCGATCCGAAGCTCCGAATCAGAGGTGAGAAAAATCGTGACGTCATCTGCGTAGCATGCCATTAAACGGTGTTGCGTGCGGGAGACCGGGAAGCCGGGCAGGAAGCATGATGCGTAACGGTGAAAAACCTCGATGACACACAGGAAGAGGAACGGGGCAAGGGGGCAGCCTTGCTGGACGCCGGTCTGTACTGCAATAGGGGGGCCGCATAGATTATTGACTGAGATTCTGGTGGACGTATTAGAGTGCATCAGAGCAACCCAGCGCACGAAGGCAGGGGGGAGGCCCAGGTGTGTGAGGCAGGCAAGCATAAAGTCCCGATCGACAAGATTGTACGCCTTCCTTATGTCGACTGTCAACGCAAGGAGCGGCAGGTTTTGCGTGGTAGCCCAATCGAAGAGGTCAAGAGTATCATTCAAGGTGTCGCCAATTTTTCTAGTCTTGATGAAAGCTGCTTGGGAGTGATTGATGAGGGAGAGAAGCAGCGGTTGGAGGCGGTTGGCAAGGCAAATGGCCAGAATTTTGTAGTCTGAGTTCATCAGCGTGATCGGGCGTAGGTTATCATTTACTGATGCGTCCCCTTTCTTAGGGATGAGCACCGTGCGCCCTTGTAGCATGGAGGGGGGGAGCGCGGAGTGGTTTTCCAGAAGCAAGGCGTGGAGGACAGGAGTGAAGGTCTTGCGGAACTGCCGGAAGAGTTCGCCCGGAAGCCCGTCCGGGCCAGGAGTTTTTCCTCGGGGGAGCTTAGCGATTGCCTTGGATGCTTCTTCCATGGAGAAGGGGCGGGAGAGACGGTCCGTGAGCTGCGGGGGAAGGTGAGCCGGGGGAACATGGGACCAAAAGGCAGCACTAGGAGTGACGGTCTGGGAGCCGCTATAAAGCTCTTGATAGTAAGATGTGCACAGGCTGCTCATGACGGGGAGGTCAGAGGTGAGTGAGCCAGAGGGAGTGCGTAAGGATTTGATGAGGGAGGCTTTGATTCTGGAGTTGATTCCGACAAGAAGAGAGGACACGCCCATTTCGCGCGGACCCTCGACTTTAAGTTTGGCTTTAAGGGCAATATCAGCAGCGCGCGACGCTTCATACCGCTCGAATTGCTGAGTGGCTCTTCTTAGGTTCTCGATGGCATCGGCGTCTGAGGGGTTGGTGGCTAGATACACGCTCAGGTGGCAAACGAGGCTGTTGAGGTGCGCCGTGGTTTTTCTGGTGCGGATTCTTTCGATCTTGCCGAAAGCCTTGAATTTATTGCACAAGGTGAGTTTCCAGCGGTCCCAAGACTCGCCGGTGAGGGAGGGGGGAAGATTACGGCAGGCCTCAGCCACGATGTGTGCGAGGTGCGGACGCTTGAGCAGGAGGTGCGGGAGGCGTCATGGCCGCGGAGACATATTGGGGCTATCGAACTGCAAAACACAGTATGGGGCGAGCTTGTGGTCGGAAAGGGCGCGAGCGACTGAAAGGTACTGCGCGTCAAGAACACGGGAGCGGAGGGACGTAGATACGTGAATGCGGTCGAGGCGTGAGGCAGTGGGGGCCTCATCCCTCTGAGCTGCATGTGGGTAAGCAAAGAATGAGAACATGGGAGTGGTGGGAAAAGGAATGCGGAATGAGTCGAGCATGGACTGCTGTTGGAGAATGCCCGAGAGGATTAGCCCTTCCGAGGTCTCGTGGCTGAGGGGCGGCCTGTTGCGGTCCTCTGGAGAGCATACCGCATTGAAGTCACCAGCCAGGACAGTGCCGGCCGAGGAAGTGGGGGCTTCTAGAGCAGGGAGAAGGATGGCCCGCCACCATGGGCGACGGACCGCGGGAGTAGAAGGAGCGTAGATTGCTATGATACGGAGTTGCTCGCCAAGAAAGTTAGCATGAATCGTGAGAAGGCGGCCATCAAGCGAGGGAATAGCCGAGGAGATGGAGATTTGTTTATTAAAAACAAGAACAGCTATCCCTCCTGGTTTATTGCGGTTAAGAAAAGGGGAGGGGCATTGAGCATGAGAAGCTGGCTTAAGAGTGAGGATAAGATTTGGAAAGTTAAGGGTTAGCCTGGTATCAATAAGAACCACAATGTCTGCCTTCGGCTCACGCTCGCTGAGCCATCCTCGTAATTCATTGATTTTGGATCCCTTATTGATGCCGTTAACGTTAATGCAGCGTATCGTGAGGGGAATTAACATTGGATCAACCACAGAGCCCCCGCACGCGTGAGTGTGCGCATCCACGGGGCAAGGAACAGGGGAACAAGGCTAAGAGGGTGGACGAAGAGACTGCCAGGCAAGGTCATATTCCATTGGAAAGGATACAACAATAAGGCCCCGCCAGGAAATAGAGGCCTACGCCTAAGCAAGCACCATGGAGAAACATGAGAGGCGCACGGGGGCCAGCCGCCCAGCCAGGCCCTTACTGGAAGAAGGCCTGGATATGCTGGTGCTTCAGTAGGGTTTCCACCGGCCAGGCACCATAGGTGTCCTTGACTGCAGTCTTGTGAGCAGTTTCCAGCAGCCGGGCACGGTGGCGCTCGGAGTTCAGATGGAACATAGCACTGTCCAGGGCTAATCCGCACTCGATATCGCACATGGAGCACGTCCAGACTTCGACATCGAGATCCAAGCCAATGAGGAGGAGGCCCAGGTCCTTCTTGAAGGCCATAGCCGCAGCATGCTGCCCCAGGAGCTTTCCTGAGATCATTGGGGTGGAGAGGGCCGGTTCCAGAGCAGAGACGGAGGAGACAGATGATGGCCCTTGGAAAGGGCGTAACAGGCAAGACCAATAAGAAAGGCAGAGGCCCGAGAGGCGGGCGGAGAAAAGGAAACTTAACACCAAGAGACAATAAAAAGAGCCCACAATTCGTAAACGCTTCGGTAGCTGGGACCATGCAAAAAAGCAGAAAAACCGATAGCATGAGAAGGAGGTTAGAGTGAGTACCGTTAACAGCTTGGAGGCTGGCCACCGAAATGGTGTGCCTGTTGGGGGGGCGGCTACGACGGGTAAGGGCGAAGCTGGCATGATCCGCAACCCGGTGGTTGCTGGAGCACACAGTGCAAGCATGGCAGGAGATGTTCACCAGGGCCGGATCCTCCTGGTCCGGAATCCACAGCACCGCAGAGATGCGCTCAAAAGCGGGGTCCCCCTCGGCGGCCACGGGAAGGCCCATCATCTGGGAATACGACGATCCATCATAGGGGTCCTTAAGCCTGTGAAAGTGGAGGAGATCAGCGAGCCACGGAAGGTTCGCTTCGGTAACAGCAGCGAGCAGTGTTGCGCGCAGGCGCTCAGCCGAGACACCGAGCGGAACATTCCGCACCACCAAATGGGTATCCCCACGAGCCTTTGCAGCAGAGAACTCCGGAAAGGGGTCCGTGTAGACCTTGACCTCGACAGGACGGCTGTTGTTCAGCCGCACCAGGAAGGGGGACGTGAACAGCCGGCGAAAAACGCGAGCGTCGTTCGCCGACGGCCAGGAGAAGATATGGCGGAAATACGATTTGCGCGGCAGACGCAACGGTTCCCCGGCGGCTGCTTCGTACTGCGGGACAGCACCGTTGAAGGCGGTCGATCCCGGAAGAGCCGCACTGATACGCGCGAGGATGCTCTCCCGCACCTCTTCAGAGCATTCCGGGAACAAGATGGTCACCAGCGACTGCGTGTCCCGTATCAGGGACCGGAGCTCCGTACCCACAGAAGGGCGGTGGCGGCGGAGATTACGGTAGCGCGCCGTGAGAGAGAGGTTAGGAGAAGGCCCGGCGGGGGTCTGCTCGGCCGCGGCATCCTGGGCAGGAGGCTGGGGGCGCGAGGGCGGAGCAGGCCGCTGCCTCGGGGGGGCAGCCGGACGGGAGGACGATGGCGCCGTAGCCGCAGAGCTACCGGATGAGTTAGAGCGTTGGACGGGAAGAGGCGCCGGAGCTGCCGCCGTGGGAGCGGAGCCCCCAGAGGCGGCGGAAGAGGTACCCTCCCCACACTGCTTCTTGGCAGCGCGCTCGCCGGGAAGATCCGGCAGAGTTCCGTCCGGGAGATCCTCGAGGACATAGTCCCCCAGGTCGGTGAGGTTATCAGTCCCGGCGGCAAGCTGCTCGTCGGTCATGACGGCGTCGTGGTTCATGTTGGAAGCCATAGTGGAGGAGGGTGAATCAGGTAAAAGAAACGGCCGGCGTTTATACCAGCGCCAGACCAGCTGAGGGGCACAGCGGAAGAGGGTGCCATGGTTGCTTGAAGGGCGACCAGGCAGGCGGTGAGGCCAGGGCCCGAGGCGCGAGATCAAGAAGGAAAAATAGGGAAATGTGGCACTTCGGCGATGGCCTAAGCAACCAGGGCTAGGTGACTGTAAGCCAGATCGGCTTATCGAGTCGGAAGAGCAGGCATGACGTTCTGCTTCGTGTCTGACGGAAGAGAAGAAGAAACCAGCGTAGATCTGACTCCAACAACAGCAGTAAGCTGCGGGGATTACCGTAAGAAGGGAGGAGTCAAAGCTGGCAAGCGCCGCAGCCGATCTGCATGAAGCAAGGCAGAGGAGGCCTTCCCGATAAAGCTGGAAGGTAGGTGTCCTGACGAGATGAGCTGTCCCAGGTGGCCGGGAAAAGATGAGGTCCCACGGACTTTGAGCCAGGAGAGGGAAAGGCACGCCGGGAGAGCCGCCTGAAATTACGAAGAAAACCAAGCAATCAGTCACAGCCACATCAATTTGGGATCTTACCTTGTCCGAGGTCTTGGGAGCTGGGCCCGAGTAGAAAAATCTTCCTGAAACACTGCAAAAAGAACACTCGTTAAAAAGAGAGAGGTCATACGTACCATTCTGTAGATCTTCGATTGGGACGCAGCCAACACAGTTTGCGTTAACAAGATGTCCAGCTACAGTTGGAGCAGGTACGAAGGAGCAGGTACAAACGAGGACGAGAAGCAGTAGAGAAGCGGAGAGCTTCATGACGGAAGTTTTATTCATGGTGAGGCTTTTTCGGCGCCACAGGTAGGGGATATGAGACACCAGGCGGGAACCACAAGCGGAAATGATGATAGGCATCACGGTTGCGATTTCTGGCATTAGGACGCAGTACAGTTTGCGGCCTGGCGGTCGTCCCATTGCGAACGGTCATACGGATGTTTCCCATTGTTGTACAGCTTTTTTTACGCCCACTACGGTTAACTTCGTTTCAACACGGTGCAGAGAGGTAATTGTTAAGAACCGCTTTTAACCATGTTGGTTTCAGAATAACTAGGCAAGAATGAATGGACTAGCAGAAGTTTGGGTACAAATATGAAACCCTAGTTGGGGTTGTACCCCATATTGGCTACCCCACTACAGCCTACCAACATATAACACATTACAATTTAACACACCCCCATAGGCAAAGTGGGGGAGAACAAAGGGTCACAAGACCAGTCCAGCAAAGCAACGCAAGCCCAGGGTGGATCACAACGTCACCACACTCCGAGCACAAGCAAAGGCCACAAGGCCAGTTCACATGCAGTGCTAGATATAGTACAAGACAAGCAACACAGTGATCAAAACCTAGCAAGCAAGCAACAAGATATATATAAAGTACAGTACAAAGAATGTCAAGCAGTGAGCAAGTGAGGAAACGTGGACACAAGGCCTAAAGAAGTACAGTGCCGCTGATGATCACTAGGCGGGAGCGCCTTGGTGAAGATATCAGCAGTGTTGGCCTTCGAGTCCACGTACACAAGCCGAAGCTGACCGCGCTGCTGAAGCTCTCGAGCAAGAAAGTAGCGAAGAGCAATGTGCTTCGTCCTGTGCTCCAGTCTGTGCTCCTGACACAAGGCAAGAGCCGCCTTGTTGTCACCGTACAGAACTGGAGGAGAACTAGGCCGCTCTCCTAAGTCAGTCAGCAGGTAGGTGAGCCAGCGTAACTCCTGTGCAGCCATGGCTGTGGCGTAGATCTCAGCCTCACAACTAGAGCCGAGAACAGAGGAAGAGCGGGTGGACCGCCACGAGACAGAACCAGAGCCAAGGCTGAAGGTGTAACCCTGTGACGACCGCTGCGTAGCCAGGTCGTCCACCCAAGAAGCGTCCGAGTGACCAGTGAGGACAACTCTGTCGCGTCCTCCAAGCACCAGCCCCATGCCTGATGTACTGCACAAGTAACGCAGCACCCTCTTAGCAGCCTCCCAGTGCTCTCGCCTGTGTCTCCCAGGCGCAACGTAACGAGCAAGGATGCTAAGAGGGTACGCGAGGTCAGGTCGCGTGCAAGTCATCAGGTACATGAGGCAGCCTACAAGCTCTGGGTACGGGCCACTCGGCTCTACGGACTCGTCCGAAGGTGGAGCTGAGAGCGAGTGGCTGGTAGCCAGAGGTGTGGCCTGAGGTGAGGAGAACTGGAAGCCGAAGCGCTGAAGGACCTGCTGCACCATGTGTGACTGAGTCAGGGTGATGGTGCGGCGAGCTCTGTCCCGGGTGATCTGCAAGCCAAGGTAGCTACGCAGTTCACCCAGGTCAGTGCAGGTGTGTCTCTTCTGCAGCTCCGACTTCACACGAGCGAGTGCCTCAGTGTCAGCAGTAGCAAAGACCAAGTCGTCGACGTACACGAGAATGTAGAACGGCGGCAGCGACGTGTCTGTGCGCAGAAACAGCGACGGGTCAGCAGTAGACGGCGCGAACCCAAGAGCCGCAAGTGTAGTCCTCAGTGTGTCGTGCCACTCACGTGGCGCCTGGCGGAGACCGTAGACTGGCCGGCGGAGGCTCCACTGGGTACCAGGGGGAAACGACCCAGTAAAGCCAGGTGGGCGGCGCAGCCAGATCTCCTCGTGCAGGCTGCCCTGCAGGAACGCTGTGCTGAAGTCAAGAGAGTGAAGCTCGTAGTCACGCTGAGCAGCAACGTGCAGCAGAACCCGAAGAGTGGTCATCTTCGGGGTGGGGGAGAAGGTCTGGAAGAAGTCGACCCCCTGACGCTGACTGAAGCCTCTAGCAACGTAACGAGCCTTGAAGACAGGCGGAGAACCTGGCGGCCGCTTCACCCTGAAAATCCACATGCCATCGACGATGTTCGCCCCAGGAGGGGGAACCTCGTCGACGTAGGTGCCTGTGGACTTCCAGGATGCCATCTCTGCGTCCATGGCTGTCTGCCACTGAGAGGAGTAGGGACCCGAGATCGCCTCTGCGTAAGTGCGCGGAGTGGGGATGTCTAGTGCATCCGGGTCTCCCTCAGGGGCAAGCAACCAGGCCACGAGATGAGGTACAGCAGCCGCAAGAGAGTCAAAGTCCTCCTGCCTGTCCTCAAGGACGTCCGTGCCAAGAGCACACTCACTCCCGACGGACGGAGGACAGACAGACGCAGACTCAGACTCAGCAACAAGGCTAGCAGCGTAGTCTAGACGACAGGCAGCAGCAAAGTCAACCAACTCAGCGACCAGAGCAGACGCAGCCGAGGACTCAAAGGTAGGGTCAGTGACAACAGTAGCTAGGAGACGCGTGACAGTAGGGTGCTCAGCGCGATACCGGTCAGACTCAGGGTCCGGAACGGCAGGCAAAGAGGACGCAGGAGGAGACGGTAGAGGGACACGCTGAGGAGCAGTAGAGGGACGCAGAGTCATGTAGTGAGTGCCTGGGACAGGAGGAGGACGCTCACGACGGACACGACTACCAGTGCGAGCAGGACGAACAGGCGACGCAGGACGAGACTCAGGCTCACGACGCTCTGTAAGACCTCCTGTGGGACCAGTGTAAGGAGAGGGAGCAGGGAGAGGCGAGGTAGGCGGTAACTGTGACTGCGGCTGGACAGGCGGAGGACACTCTACGGAGGGAGGAGGACAAGGAGGAGGAGCCTGCCCAAGAACCTGCTGAAGGAGCGGTACGAAGTACGGTCGCGGCCGCGCAGCGTCTCCAGAAGCAGAAGAGACTCCAGCGGCCGGGTCCTCAGTACCAGCAGGAGCTCCAGCGTCCGAGTCCCCAGCACCAGCAGCAGCGCCACCGCTCGGGTCCCCAGCTCCAGCAGCAGCTCCACCAGGTGGGTCCGCAGCACCGCTAGGAAGAGCACCCCCAGAGTCGGCAGCTCCAACTCCGCTAGCACCACCAGCTCCAGAGGCCCCAGCTCCAGCAGCTCCAGTACCCCCAGTACGAGCACCCCCAGGACGAGCAGCTCCAGCACCCCCAACTCCAGCCGAGCCACTAGGACGACGAAAGCGTCGGACGTACCAGTCACGAAGCTGCTGCGGTGTGAGAGACTGCTCAGCACCCCGAACCGGAGCACCCCCAGACGCAGCAACCCGAGGCTCCGTAGGCTCAGTAGCAGCACCCCCAGGCTCAGCACCCCCAGACTCAGCACCCCCAGACTCCGCACACGCAGGCTCAGCACCCCCAGTCGCAGCACCCCCAGGCTCAGCACCCCCAGCTCCAGCACCCGCAGTCCCAGCACTCCCAGGCCCAGCACCCGCAGGCTCAGCACCCCCAGGCTCAGCACTCCCAGCAGTACCACCTGCAGCAGCACCTGAGTCACCTGTGACCTCGACAGGCTCAGCGACGGGAGGAGGGTCTACCTGAGAGACACCTGAAGGAGCAGGACCCTGAGGGGGAAGGGGGTCTACCGGAGGGGGACCAGGAGCAAGGAAAAGCGGCGGGGGAGGGAGGGGGGCAGTGCGGTAGGGGAAGAGACGGTAAAAAGGGACCGACTCGTCAAAGGTGACGTCCTAAGAGGCGAAGACCCGGCGCGAGGTGGGGTGGTAAAACTGCCAGCCCGGCGCGTCAGGGACAAAGCCAAGGAAGACACAGGGAAGCGTGCGGGAGGAGAGCTTGTCCGCGGACGTATCGCGGACAAGGGCACGAGCACCCCACACCCGGAAGCGCGACGCATCGCCAACCTCCCCCGTCCAACGCAGTGTGGGCGAGGTCTCCGGCAAGGAGACACGGGGCCAGAGGTTGAGCTGATGCGCGGCGTACCGGACAGCAAACGGCCACAGAAAATGGGGAGCCGCCGCGTGGACCAAGGAGGTACGAGCGACCTCCATGACCAGGCCAATGCGGTGCTCAGCAACCCCATTCTGCTGTGGGGAGTCCGGAAGCGTGAAGGTCTGCTCGATGCCCTCCGCCTGACAGAAGGTCCTCAAGAGATCGGAGGAAAACTCACCACCTCTGTCAGAGTGCAGACGCAGGAC